GCTATCTGCTAAGATGATAAGTTTTCATGTACTATGCTTAAATTTCGTAGTAAAAAACATTATAAAAAATTTATGTTCAAAAGTGTCCAGCTACTACCTCTTTTACCTTACCTAATTTTTCCGGAAAATCCTGCATTTGTACAAAAATTATTATTTTTCGGAAACCACGTGACAAAGCATTTCCTTAGCCCGACAAACTGTATAAAAATCCCTTTGAGATTGCAAAATTACAAATTCTTCATTAATCGTATTAAAGAGAGAAAACAAGAAAATATTCTAAGTTTCGTTACATTCAGCAAAATTCCCAATTCCGTTGCTGTACACTCGAAGGAATGCGTCGAGTTCCCAGAATATCTGGAAGAAGGGTATGTCCGTTGACGCTTCCAGAAATTCCATAAGGCGTTAGGTCTATTCTGTTGATCTACGGGGCGATAGGAATACCGTTGTACTGTCGCGAGAGCTTCTCCGGCGTGCGTCGAGCGATCTAAAAGGATCGTCGAGCTTTTGTTCGCGAAAGAGTCCACGACAGGAATTCCCGTGAAGGCGTTCGCTCGTTGCATGCCAAAAACGTAATTTCGGAACACGCTGCGTAGGTGTCTCGCTGTGGGATGTAATCTTTTGAAAACCGCTGCCAAGGCGGCCGATAACGGATATCGCGTCGATGCCGCCATTCCCTTTGCCTGGGCTCGACGTTGATCCGTGCGTCGCGGATCGAAAGATCGATACCTCGCTCCGTTTCGCAAACGTTTAAAAACGTCCTGTTTTAGATCGCCGGCTATCGATGACCCATCGCCCGTAACAAATTCGTTCTAACAATTCCCCCGAAGCTTTGTCCCGTCTGTGAGGCTAAAGAGATTTGATGAAATTACGCTTGAAACGGGAAACGGTTCCGGTTTTCTGATGGATAGCCAGGTGTGGTTTTTCAGAAAACGAATATTTATTGAAATCCGTTTTCGAACTTGTCTGTTTCAGGTTTGAGGATACGATTGGCCAATTTGTTCTTCAAACTGTTGACATGCTTCTTGTATATATTCAGAGTCATCACAGATACAGATCCTACTTACGCAGCATGGTAAGTTCTACTCATTATTCTGTTAAATCAGCTGTTATTTTAGAAAGTAGTATAAGTCCATTTGTTCGTACACTGAAATATTTAAGGGACCTTGCCAGTGGGACCGCCTAAAATTTAGGTTATTCTTGAGAATTTTTTAAACTATACATACATATATGTAAATGTACTGTATGTATACACACGTATATGTATATTATACGTAGATCGAAATTGATATTCCAATTTGAATTACTAGTGCCTCATTCAGTAAACGAGCAGTAAACAGAATTTTATTAATGATTCGCAAGATATAATTTAATT